TTTAATTATCTTCCATGTTTTCTACTAAAAAATAACCTAACCCATATTATTTTGTAGAATATGGTGAAAGATTGATTTATTAAAATTTTAATTATAATAAATTTTTTCAATTAATTTAATAATATGAAAGAAATATTAAATCAAATTTTAGACAAAAAAACTTAAAAAATGCGCATTCTTTATTTTTAAAAAAATTATTAGGGTTCGACAAAACCGTTTAGCTAAACGGTAAACGGTATACGATAAACGGGTTTTTTGCTAAAATTAAACGAAACGGAAAACGGGTCCCAGATAAACGGCATAAACTGTATACGGTCCTCCTAAACGCCGTTTATTCGTTTAATTTTTTCTTAGGATTTTTCGACTGCTGCGTTAGGAGAAGAAGAAACTACATTTTTAATATTTCGCCTCCGGCGCTAGAAATTAAACTCATTGAAGAGATACAGAGGCTTTAGGAGAAATTGATGAACTCGTATTCATCAGACATCATTTCAGCCCTTCCTATACTCTCTAAATCCATCGATATTATGAAGTTATAGTTGAATTATAATTTTTATAAAGCGGAATGATGATAATTAATGATTTTTCATTGTTTTTTTTGAATTATGAATTGTTTTTAAAAAATTTTAAAAATAAACGGTAAACGGTCGTTTAAACGGGTTTTAAAAATTAAACGAAACGGTATACGGGTCTCAGATAAACGGCATAAACGGTATACGGTTTTTTCAAAATTAAACGGTTTTGTCAAACCCTACTAGATATTTTGAATCGTCCCCTTTTTGTCGTAGGCTGGATAGGCTATGCTGAATCAGCGATTCAGAATCGGGCTTTACCGTATTTTTAAGAAATTTCTGAAAAATCAGAGACTCAAAAAATTTCATCAATTTTTAAAATTCTTTTGAAATTGGAATAAATATACATATAAATAGAGAATTTAATTTATTTCTTAATAAATATACATATTATTAAATAAATATTCTTAAAGTGCAATATTTCATTTAAAATAGTAATACCTCATTTTCTTAAGCTAAGGAAAATTGGCCATTTTAGCTTATTTTATGTATTTCGGCTTATCATTTCTATTTTTGGATTAAAATTTATTTATTTAATAAGCAATCTGGCTTAATATATTCGAAAAACTTAGTGACTGGCTTGTAGCACATGATAACCCTCATGTGAAGTGCAAAGATATTTTTTAAAGTATTTGAGTTTGGATGTTTATTTAAAGCCAATTTATTTAACATTTGATTCATTTTTAGTTTTTTAATTAAGTAATTTACCTCTATCCTTTTCTATAAAGCTATTAAAAGCAATCATAATTCTGGATTTCCCTTGTGGATGACCCAGCTACACTACAATGCAAAAAAGTCTGACAGAGGGTTAGGGGAACATTTTAACTATACTACGGCCTTCACTAACCCAGGATAAGTAGGGTTGACTTGGTTTACAATCTCACTAAATCCGTCAATATTCCTTTAAATCCATTCCAAAATTCAAAAATTAACGCAATCGACGCTTTAAATTTAAAACTAGATGTCCTAGACTAAAAAGCGGTACGGGGTACGAGAAAATTTGAAATTTACAAGCACTGCATCGGACTTTGTTGACAATACATACTTTTAAAATTTTTTCTATTTTAAACATAAAACCGTTGGGTGTGCGCAACCGTAAAAACTGTTTTAAATTTCTAAATTTCATAACCTCCATTTGTATAGGAATATATTTTGAAATTTTCTTTTCAAAATTTCTGATAGTTCTAGCTATCATATTATCCCGAAGCTATTATATCTCTCATTTATTTATCTTCCTTGTTTTCTACTAAAAATAACAGCCCATATTATTCTGAAGAATATAGAAAGATTGATTTATCAAAATTTTAATTATAATAAATATTTTTAATCATTTAAATAATATAAAGATAATTTCAATTTTAGACTAAAAAACAAAATCTAGAAAATGCGCCTACTCGTTTTAGGCGCATTTACTTTGCTTATTGCATTGGGAGAAGCAATGGATAAAGGCGAGGCACCTGAGCAATCATCTCGGGGTCTGCCAGGAAATTTAAACGTATATCTGGAACCTAATGATGGTGGTTGCAAGAGAAAGCTTTACGATCCGAAATTCCAGTTACCGCTGCCTCGTCAATATACTGGAATTTACAAATGTAAATTTTTTCAACAAATCTTTTATATTTATTTTATAACTAATATGTATTCTTTTATAAATAAATTAAAAATTCGCTTTTATTCGTTTTTATGTATAATAATAATTAGTATTTTATATAAATAATTAAAGCGGCAATCTATCCAAGAGCTACCGTTACTGATGAGGAATTTAATAGAGTCTTGGAAATTCAGAGTGGATTGTTAAAAGAAATTATGAGTGAGGAAGCCTATGAGGATTACAAAAAATTGGGTCCCAATAACCATATTGAAAAAATACATGCTGAAAAGCCACACTTAAAAGACTTGAAGAAAAAATCTAATGATCTAAAGGATGAAAAAAATAAAGCTAAAAATTTATTGAAAAATATAGATAAAGTGTCAGAACGAGAGGAAGTTTTAGAAATATTAAAAAAGGAAGGATATCCAATTTCGAAAGATGAAGATGTTGATGAAATTTTAAAGGAATTGAAGGAAAAAGTAGCTTTAAAGTTGGATATGGATCCAGGTCAAGATGTTCCACGTGGTTGCATTATTATTAACGAAGATGGAATTTGTAAAATTGATGTTTGTATGTTTTATTTATCTTATTTTTGAATATTAGAAGATTAAATTATTTTATTTTATTAAATTTAAAATTCCAACGTCTTGAAATTATCTATGTGTTTATCAGATTAATTAGTGTGAAGGTAAATAAAATAGGGATTGTGTAAAAATAGCTTTACTTTATTTCTGCAAATAATACCATTCTTATTTGCTATAATGACGAGTCTTATGTTTATATTTTATATTTTAGTCCTAAAAAATAATTCCTAATAAATTTTGAGCAATTAATCAACAAACTAACCTATCCATCTGTAATTTTTAATAATAAGTTAATTTTTAGCAGGATTCTATAGACCATACAAACCAAATGTGGTTGTAGGTCTGCATTTGAAAAGGGGACATTTGCCAGCAAGCAGTTGGATTAAACCTGATCACGAGGATGTTAAATTATATAGTGGATTATGGCACACTGATAGTGAAAAGGATTTGATTATTCATCATGATTATGACAAAAATGATAAACGAATACTTGATCGTTGCTCATTTTATGGGTTTGAAAATTCTTATTTTTATAAAATCAACTGAAACTAGAAACCAGGATACTAACTCTGAACCCACCCCATAGTTCACTTCTTGATCCGGTAGCATTATCATGGAAAGAAACAGACCAGGGAAATACCGTTTCAACCCCGATAATTTATATTTTTCATTCTTGTATAATCGTAGCAATCACGGCACAAAATTAAATAATAAAAAATTCATAAATAATAATTAGAAAATACGAGTTGGATGAAAATGGCTATCCAATCAACCCAATTACACGTACTGGTTTTATTACGCGTGGAGAATTATACCAATGGGGACCAAGTAAAGGAGTTGGAGCAATTTTATACTCAAAAAGCATAAATGATGAATTTTCATTTCTCGGGGTTATGAATGGGAAGTATGAGAGACCTGAAGGTATACTATACATATATTTTTCATTAAAAGTAAGGGTTTATAAAATTAAACTCGAGCCAGAGTGTTTGAAAATACATATTGACACCTTAATTAAATTCGAGAAATTGTGAACAACATTGTTGTCTGATTTTAAATACCGTTAAATCAACACTTCGATTTCCAACTTATCAGAAGTTGCTCCAATTGTGTCTAACCGATGTTTAAGCATCCTTAAATTCATTTTTTAAATTTACTTTCTAAATTAAAATTAAATACTTATAAAATTTGTCATCCTTGTTGTATACGATGTTCATGCTGTGGAAAAATTGTTTGGATGGGAGATGGGATTGAACCATCATGGAATGAGCCCAGACCGAAGCACAACCGACTGTGCCACCATCCAACCCAATGCTGGGTTATTTATTTTCATTTATATTCTTTCTGCAAGTGCGGACACAACAATCCTAGTATGGATTAAAAGACTATTACTTATAGATAGAAGAATCACTACTCCAGGAGGGTATGTTGATCCAGATGAAGAATTTGAAGATGCAGCAAAGAGAGAATTAATTGAAGAAGGTCTAGCAAATAAAAAGGTAGGAAAGGAAGAAAAAGCTGAATTCGAAAATAAACTCAAAACTCTCATGGGTGATGGAGAATTGGTGATATTTGGCTATAATGATGCGAAAGAGGTGATAAAATTTTAAAGTATTTGGTGCTGTATTCCATTTAAATATTTTACAGACAAACACAGACAATGCATGGACAGAATCTGTAACCTACGCTTTTGGAATTGACCACAAAAATTTAAATGAATTTGAAGCAGATCATGGAAGTGATGCAATAAAAGCAATGTGGATGACCATTAAAGTTAATGAAGATTCTTCTGAAGTAAAGTCACTAAAGGAAAAAGTAATTAAAGAGGAGGTAAAAGTAGGAAAGGAAGAAAAAATGGAAAAAATGCAATTAGATTTGCCAGTTGAGCATATTACATTTGGAGATGTCGAAGACTTTAAATTAAAAAAAGAAAGAGAGTTTAAAGTTAAAAATCTTCTTGATAAGAAAATAAGAAACATGTTCAGTATAGAGGAAAAGATTGCTTTTGTTCTTAAAACCTTCAAGGTTGCTATATTTAATTTTTAACAACATTTGATTTTGTATCTTCAATAAGGCAATTTTATTGCAACAATCACTAAACTTAATTAATTTGACCGATCTTTAATTCTGACCTTTCCTTAATTAAATAAAGTACTATTTTAGGCATGCCGGACTGAATATGTAGAAGACAAATCAGAAAAAACTGAAGAAATCGCCGACAAAGGAACTGGAGAATCCAGTTCCAGTAAAGCAGAATCGACAAAGAAGGTTCCAGTTGAAATTTGCTTAAATTTGAATGATAAAAAAACGATGAACATGGAAGGGGTTGCTCGTTTATTCCTCGTTAAACTATACGGCGAAATGCCTTATTTGGAATTTCTCGAAAAACAAAAGTCGAATCAGGGAGCATATGTAGTCAAAAGGGGAAAAGTATCCACTTCAATTACTGGTAGTAAGTTTATTTGTTAAATAAAATTATTTAAAAATAATAGAAAAACGCCTTCATGATCATGGGAGCGGTAGTCAAACAGAGAGCGGGACTCATCATGAACATAAAAAAGAAAAAAAGAGTCCACAAACAAGTTTAAGCCCAAGCAAAAAGCGAGGTGAAAGTCCAACTAAAGGTCATTGAAAATGAGTTGTTTAAAGAGTTAGTAAAAGACTCAAAAGAAAGTAAAAACTTGAGCATATTGCTCTATTTCTTCTGTCCACTTTTGTTCATTTTAGCTGTAGTATGACCAGATGCTCACTAATTCTCTTGTTTATATTGAGTTGATATTTAGTCAAAAATATTATTTGGCATCCTTCAAATTATCACAGATATCTTAAAATTTTCTGAAATTTTTAAAATAAACAAGAAACTAGAAGAGCCGGTCATTAGAATACTTTATTAGTTATGTACATATTATTCTTTATGTAAATATTATTTATTTTTCTTTACTCTTTTCTTGACGAACATTGTGATTTTTTAAGATTATTTTAGTATGTATAAAACATTTAGCAATTTTTTGGTTAATTTCTAAATTTAAAATCAAAATTTAATTAAGAACATAATAGAAAATTAAGGAACGATTGTCGATTAAAACGTGAATCTAATAGCGAAACTTGTAAAATAATAATTAAATTATTCTTATACAAAGCCTTATATATTCGTTAAGTGCAAGAAGATATATATTTTAACAAGGAGAATAAGATATCTTTTAGACAATTTAAATCCCGACCCTAATTAATTTTTAAATTAAACTCAAAAAATTTTTACCTGCGGCTTTAAATAACAAAATTTTCGCCTGTAGAATATTTCATTGAAGCATAATAATTTGATACAATATGAATTGGATATTTAGTATGGCAAGTTCAAACATAAACTTGTTTAAAACAAAAAACCAGGGGTCAATTAAAAAAAAACCGGGGTCAAGTAAATGTCCAGCTCGTGTCCCGCATGTCCGCAAAAGGCATTCTGCAAAAATGTTTTCTGCAGTCAATTTCTTTCCTCTCACTACCATAATTTTCCTCGCGTAGAGGAATTTTCCTACACGAGGAAAATTATGGTAGAGAGAGGAAAGACATTGACTGCCGAAAAAAAGCATTTTTGCAGAATGCCTTTTGCGGACATGCGGGACACGAGCTGGACATTTACCGTCAAACGAAAACTAAGGTACCGGTTAATAACCGGTTGCAAACAACCTTAGTCCAAACATTAAAAGTTTAATCTAATCAACTTTTTGCAAAAAAATTAATTTAAATTTATAAAGAATGGATTAAATAATTCGAAAATCTCAAAAAAGAGATAAACAATATGGAAATTATTTTTCATATTTTTGTTAATTAATTAGCAAAATTTTTAAAATATTTGTTTTGCTTGTTTTGTATAAATGTCATACTGTCACATTTTTTGCATAAACATGGAGGTGTTGGTGCTTCAACAGGTTTTTTCTCCAACAAATTATCATTGGTCTTTGATAACGAAGAGACGGAAGACCTTGGGGTTTATAAATTTAGTTTAAGATTATAAATTGTGACTATTTTTGTAATACTAATATTTGCCTATAATGTTCCGCGGAACGGAAAATTTGGCCGGAAATTAATTAAAATAACTGATCTTGAACAATGTTTTATATTTCTGAAATGCAAGGAACCTATTTGAATATTGGCTTATGTCACTTAGGATATTGATGATAGTTATACAAAGATGTCATGTCGCTATGTTATGTTTCTGCTATGCACTCTACTTATTGAGCTATCTGCGCTTCCGGAGGGTTCAAATTATTCAGGAAGGGCTATTAATATATTATACATACTTTGATTTCTACTTAATTATATATTTGGCAGAATAAAGTTATAAACTTTACCCAAAAATGTTTTCGAATTGACTCATCACGAACTGTGCCAAATTTTTCATGAAATTGGCACTGTCTTTGACCATTTGTTTTTCAAATTCACGCATTTTTTGAAGGTATTCATCAATTTGTTGTTGTTCTTCAGATGTAGGTGAACGTTCCTCACCATTATCGTTAATTACACCATCCTAAATTAATTTTAATATTTACTCAAATAATTTATATTTTATTTTAAATTATTTTTTGAATAAAAATTATAAAAATTTCTTAAAATTTTTATTTAAGAAATTTTTTAAAATTTCTTAAAATTTTTATTTTACGAAGACTGAATTATAATAATGTACCGTATTTGCTCTAATTAAATGACATCTCTAATTGAATGACATCTCTAATTGAATGACACTTTTTAGGGGTATATGAAAAATAGAATGACAGTCTCCAATTGAATGACATCTCTAATTAAATGATATTTTTTAAATATTAACTATCTAACTCTTATATCTCTATCCCCTTTATTAACTAGTTTAATATTCCTTTTTAGTATGGATAAATGTGATATTTTGAAGGGATTAAGAGGGATATGAAGCGGATTAAGAGGGATATCAGTGGATTTGGGAGGAAAAGGGGATATACAAGAGATTAAAACGATTTGGGGAAAATATCGAGAGATTGAAATGATTAGAGGACGTTTTAGTGATTCGTAGATCAAGAGGGATTAAGAGGGTAAGTGAAGGATTTGGAATGATATAGAAGATTTGAAGCATATCAGGGATGAACTGAGTCATATCTGGAGATATTGATGGATTTGGATTCTGATATTTTTAGATATGAATAATCTTAATATTTTGTAAAAAAGAAATTTATGTCCTCCAAATTACTGATATCCCATTAAGTACTACAAATATTTACAGCCCTACAAATACTATACCTCCTTAATCACTTGATATCTCCAACTCCTTCAATATCCCTCCAAATCCCAACAAATTTCCTGATGTCATCAGAACCTAATATAATCCTTCAAAATAACTCTAAATGGCTGATCACTCTATATCATGCCCAAATTCCTCAATAGCACAAACTATCAAAACCTAAATGTCGGTAAAATTTTGAAATCCTGAAACCGAAATTTCCAAAACCAAACTAGAAAACCAAAAAAAATCGGTAAAATTTCGAATTCAGAAATATTAGATGGGATATTCGATTCATCCTATCTGTATTTCTGACATATGAAAAATAGAATGACAGTCTCCATTTGAATGACATCTCTAATTGAACGACACTTTTTTGGGGTATATGAAAAATAGAATGACTGTCATTCAATTAGAGCAAATACGGTAAGTTCGATAATCTTCCTTCCATAAAAATGATAACCAAAAGAGGAATGATAGATAGGATAAACAAGCATCGGAGGGCTTCAGATCCGAAAATTTAGAGCGAGAAGATTTTTCGTTAATAATATCTTAATAAATAGATAAGAATGCCTTTAAATAATACATTTTTTGCATTCAAACGAACAATTCATAGCTACATATTTTATAATATTTTCAGCATTAAACATAATCCGAACCTCATACACGCATGCTTGACTATCACTTTCATTGTTATCATTATCATCTTCATCATTAGTATATTTAGCAGTTGTATTAATATCCAATCCATTTACATCATTATCCTCTTCTGGAAATTCATTTTCTACACCAGATCCTTCATTATTATTTTGGTCTTCCTCATCTTCCTTAATTTTTTCTGTTGTGTATTCATTAATGCGGTTATTCTTCTCATTATTTAACAGTGGCAATGCACTTGTATCATCTTCTTTAATAAATTGTGAGTCTTGAAGATTTTGATTGTCGATCGAATTGGAAGGTTGTTGCTCATTATCATGCTGAAAAAATTTATTATTTAGATAAAGCCATGTACAATAATTTCTCTAATTAAGCCATTATTTCTAGCTGAACGGCCGTATCCATTAAAGTGCTCATAGAGAGGGGATCAAGGTTTCTTTGCATTTTATGAGATGTAATGTAAATAATTATATGTAGGTAGCAAATTTTAGATTAAAAAAATAGAAACCACTAGATCATGATTAAAATGAATTACTCAAAAACAATAATTTTGCTAGAATTTGGATTTTACTATTATTTTTATTATAAAAAAATTTTAAGATATAACTTTGAGCGTTATTGAATTCTTTGAATAGTTTATAAAATAATATTATTCAGTTAAATAATTAATTAATTAATTTTACTTCTCGAACATCAACAGAGTCGGAAAACTCATCATTGACCGTACCATCAGAATTTCCATTGTTCTCTCCGCTATTAGAATCTTGAGCAATAATTTTGTTTATAATTAAAAGTAAAATTAAAAGTTTTAAAAACATTTTTTAATTAAGAAACTTTGGGTCTTTTTAATATTAAATGTCAGTTGAAGCATCATTTAAGCGTTTTTATTTACAAATTAACTGAATGATAAATTAAAGTTTATTTAGATTTTGGCCTTTTTTCTATTTTGAAATTCAAAAATGACTGAGTAAAAAAATTCTGTTTACATCAAAATTTAATTTTTTAAATTCATCCCTTCATCTATAGCCTTATTTTTAAGCATTATTGGGAAATTTTCAGATGATATTTTAAATGACTAATAAAGATTATTGAAGGGAGATGATTTTTAAAAAAGCTGAACAAATAAAACTAATAAAAATTCAAAGTGCAGATTTATTGGGAAATAATTATTGACTAAAAAATTTTAAATTAAAATAATTATTTTTAAATAATTAATTCATCATCTACCTATGTATTCTTTATTTCCTTCTAAATATTTTTTACTTTAATTTTAAATTTTAAAATTATAAATCAAAAACTAAAAAGATTAAGAATATATTTTGTATTTACAATACTACTTGTGTTTTATTTTTGCATGATTGATAAAGATCTGAAAACTAGTTGGCAAAGACGAGACAGATACTGAAATTTGCGGCTTTTTTCCAATATGGGTCTCGGTTTTTTATTCTCGTTATCGAACCCGATACTGAAATTCTTGGTCCATTTCTCGGCAAGAAACGATACTAACTCAAAGAAATAAAATCCTCAATATTGTCGATGATTGATAAAGATCTGAAATCTTTATCAATCAAGTAATTTGACAAAGTGTCATAAATTTTATATTTAAGATTTAATTATTTAACTATCATTTATGCCCCTAATTATATAAATGTATTGTTTACAGACAAATGTAGCTCACAGGGTAACCGTAACAACCCTCTCCCCCGCATTGAAAATTTCTACAAGAATTATAAACCTTCGTCAAGACTTATACCACCTCAAAAATGTTATTTATTATTAAAATTATAAATATTATTTTCTTGAATTACATATTTAATTAATATGTCAAAAAGGACAAATTGCAGGTGGCAATTAATCTCAACAAATTACCGCCTTAAAATTATTTTTCAAGACAATAGACTTTAAACAAATATTTATTAAATTATTTTAATGACAGGTGTGTTTAATTGTAAACACAAACAGCTTACGTTAATAATAAACAATTTATTTTATAATAAAATGTTTCTTAAAAATTTTCTTTTTATTGTATTAATAATTTTTTATTTGAAAATTTCATAATTATCTAAAATAAAATTATATTAAAAAATTAATTTAATTATGGACGGCAAAACTTACTATAGTGTAAGTTTATTTGTGTTAAACATTCAATTTATCAAGAAGATTAAATAGATAAAATATTTCATTAAAATAACAAAGAAAATTCGTAAAACATTAAAAAACTAGGGGTGCGTTAGGGGTCTGTCTGCATTAGGGGTCTGTCTGCACTGCTCAGTCTCCCTTGTTATCAGTCTCCATAGTTTATTGGGATTTAAAATTAGTAAGAGGGATATCAGGGGATTTGTTGAGATTAAAGTGAAGATCAAGAGAATCAAGAGACTTGTACGTGACATCGAGGGTGGATCCCCAGTCATTGTTACATTGGTACAACTTCCCCCGTCATTTGTACAACTTCCCCCGTCGGGAAAAATATCGAAAAATATAGACGATATTTTTCGATGCTCGATATTTTTCGATATCGATACCGATATTATCGATAGATCATTCAAGTCCGGTCTCTAGTAAGTATTATAACAAGAGACCGGACATATAAAATATCTGAACAAAGATCTGAATCCAATAAAATAGGTATTTAAAATCAAATTTAATTTAAAGCCAATCTACTCCACATATAATGAAAAAGGGTTTATGCCGAAATTATTTTTGAATGCGTTATTCACAAGTTTATTTTCATTAGTTACAATTATAATGAATTCAAGTGTTTGTTTTATTACAATAAAATATAGGTATGGTATAAATAAAGATTGTTGTACTCGTACATATATAAATTAATGGGGATAAGAGATTAAAAATTTTAATTTGTGAATTTTGGATGGCGTTGGGACGAGGAATTTTCAAAAAAAACTCTTAAATTCTCCGACTTTAGGTGACGGCGAATGAGACAAGTAATTTTTAGGATAAAATTTTTCTTTTATAAAAAAATAGGAAAAATTTTAATTTTTAGAAAAAAATATACAGCATTAAGGAGTAATACAAGTATTTTGCTTGTATTTTACGCCTTATTTGAAATTTTGTTGAATACAGTAATATTTTTTTATTTGGCAACATCGACAACTGGAATTAATTTTCTTACAAATTGGTTATCCAAAACCTATATATTTTATGTAATAATTGTATTCAATACTTCGAATTTTATGTTACTTTTAATTAGCATTGATCGCTTAGTAGGCGTTACTTTACCTATATTGTAAGATTTAATACATATTTAGATCAGGGTGACCCTTATATTCTATTTATAGGGCATTTGCCCTATTTTTGACCTTTTCGCTCTTGTTTTTCCCTATTTTCAACATTTGTTATATTTTGCCCTATTTTTACCATTTTGTAACATTTTAATTTTTTTGCCATTTTATAAATAGAATGTGAAATACGGAAAAAATCTGTCACTTGGCATTAAAAAATTCTCAAATTTTCGCCTGCGGCGCTAAAAAAAGAAGAAATCTGGCTTATTGCCTTCCAAAAATCCTCATATGTCAGATCCTCAATTGTCGTCCTCAAATGTCGTCCTCATTTGTCATATCCTCAAGTGCGTATCCTCAATTGTAGTACCGCCAAATTTTCGCCTGCGGCGCTGATAAGGAGAATACCGACTTATTATTGTGCTTTAATGCCCTATTTTTTGCATTATTTTTGACAATTTTCGCCTTATTTTTGCCACATTTTTGAGTGGCTGTGCCCTATCATAGTGGTTTGGAAAGGGTCACCCTGATTTAGATCTATTAAAAAAATTAAACTTATCAGGAAATTTTAGTGCCAGAAATTAAACCAAAAAATAGAAGAAAACCCTAAACAGTTACAGTACACGTACGAAAAATTTCGAATTTACAAACTTGGCCAAAACTGAAAGTTTATATATTTTTTTGTTCGTGTATTTAGAATAAAGAAGGAAGTAAAAATTTCTGATAAAATGCCTGAATTCCTAATACTCAATTCCTGATACCCGAAATCTGGAATTTGATTTCATGCCAGCCTGATCCCTGAGCTTGATTAGGAGTCTATTGACAGTTCTTAAACTTAAAATAATATTAAATACAAATTTCAGATACAATAACATGAAACAAAAGAAATATATAATTGTAAATATATCATTAATAACGTTGTACAATATTTTTATGATTTTCATCGTTATTTTGCCAGTATATGAAAAATATGGAAATTTTAAAATACCAGGCAATCCTATGGATATCATTATAATTATTTCATCAACCGGTCAAATTCGAACTGCGTTTCCTTTAATTATTTACATCATTACTTTAATGAATTATTTATTCGTTGGAATATTAACAAAATTCATAACGGGTACAGTTTGTCGGCCTAAAATTATTATTATATTTAGGGTTGCCAAAATGGCCCGACTCGGACCTAAAGATCGAGTCGGGCCTAAGATATTTAGCCCGAAAGATTCGTACGGCCCGAAAAAAATGTCTCGGAAAAAATATGTTAAGTACTGTACTTCCAAAATAAATACGAATCCGAACCCTGATTTAGTCTATTTATAATATTTATTAGATTTGCATCATGAAACAATTAAAAAGCTTTATCGATCTCTATATCTTATTGTTTTTGTGAATATCTGTTCTTGCCTTATTTTCCAACTCGTAGCAGTTCTACTACTCGGATTTTCAATAGAAAACGGCATAAATGAAGAAATTTGGTTTATATTAACATATTCTAGTATTATATATATTTTTGGCTCGGCTTCAAATGCGCCAATACTTTTTATTAATAGGTAGATTTAAAGAGTTTAAATAAATTAATTTAGAAATTAAATTAACAGTACTGACTACAGAGAGGCTTATTTAAAGGAATTTGCTTTAATTAAATCTATTTTCAAACGTATATTCAATAATTCTGTGACTCCGTCAAATGTTAATGCCGTGGCTAATATTCAAAATTAAGCAAGAAAATTTTTTTTGAACAATATATGTATGTATGGAGTAGTGATGGTCGGGATTCCCGGTCTCGGTTCCCGAGTCGGGAAATTTCCCGGGTTTTTTGAGCTCTCGGTCTCGGTCTCGGTGTTTTAGTCTCGGAAAACGAGACTAAATTTACACCCCTAATGACGGAAATTTTTTGAATTTTACTCATACCTCGCGCACTTTAGCATTAAATTTTTTAAGGAAAAAGGAAAGAAATATTTAATTTTCTCCCATTTTTCTTTTGTTGTTCGATAGTTGAGTGGTTGTGTGACTGACTTCAATCACTTAGTTATTTTATTAGTTCTGGGTTCGAATCCAGGGGTGGAATTGAGGCTGAAAAATTTTTCTTTTTAAAAATAAATGTCTTTTAATTTTGATTTTGATTTCAAATTTATTTTTTTTAATATTTTAAACTTGAAAAGACATTAAAAATTTTAATTTAATCATGAATTTTCCGAAATTTTCGCCTGCGGCCCATAAATCCTCACTATACATCCTCAGTTGCGGTGAGAAAATGGGAGAAATCTCGCTTCACGACCTCCAAAATTCTCAAAATTTTCGCCTGCGGCGCAGAAAATGAATGAAATTGAAGGATTTATAGCTTAAAACCTTAAAAAATACGAGAATTATCGTGTACGGCCTTAACTATTAGAGGTATCAATGGACTTGTCGGATATCGGAGCTTATTGGGATTTGAAAGGCTATAGAGGCTATATTAAAATTAAGAGGGATATCTGGAAACTTGGAAGGATTAAAGTAAACATAAAGGAACTTGTGAGTGGTATTCGAGGGTTGGGAAGATACCGTTCGATTTGGAGGGATATCGAGGGAAATAAGGGGAT